ATTTGAACGGCCAACTATAGTAGTCAGAGGCGGATTGAGAGTTTTTCAGGGGACCCCCACCCCCCTTTCGTGGGAAAACTTTGGTTGATCATATACATGTAGTGAATCACTGAAGCATGACTGGAGCTGGCCCCCTTATGAAAATTTCTAGATCTGCCACTGGTAGTCCATTTTGTCTAGCAGTAATCCTCAAAAGTAAATAATACGTTTTTCTTATCAACTTGATTATTATTTAAACCTTGCTAACTATTACATAACTGTCAAGACACAGTATGCATGTTAAAACTACTTGCATTGTCATAAAGAGTAAACAATCATATTCCACAAAACAAACAAAAAGTGTTTGTATCGTTACTTTAGCTATTACAAACCATATATATATATATTATCATATGTGACTATCAAGCCTCCTTCAATGATAACCCTGATTCACCAATACTACAACTAAAATCAAAAGCCAGGAGAAAAAAGACACTATATATTCTAATGCTTGGAGTGCAAGATTCCAATAAAAAACCCTATACCCACAAACCACCGACCTCAATACATGTATAAGCAGCTAAAATACGGCAAGCTTTTTAGAAAAGCTATTACTTGTTTATATATGCGTCTGGGTAATCGAGACTACATAAGGACCGGAGATCGGTTTTTAAAACGCTTGAAAAATTCAGATGAATGATGCAAATTTGAAGACGCAGGTAGCCAACTGACAACAACTTGAACAAGTACTTGTTTCTGTTTATTTAACGAGACAAACACAATCAAGGAGCTATGAACGCATAGATACTCGCGGAAATAATACAGGTAACTCAAATAAATGATTTAATAGTGCAGAAATAAACAGAAATAGTGAGAATGTTTTTCAACTTTTTACCTGATCAGTTCACAGTTGTAAAACTCCGTTTAAAATAAACACTCATTAGACACACACACACATGTATACTCAAAAGTTGATACAAAACAAGAAAACTCTAAAAAAAGAAAAAATTCCATCTTCGTCATCCAACTCATGGTTTGAAAAAATAATGTATGATTCTATGAATTGACCTCAGCTCCGGGCTCCTGTAGCCCTAGCTCCGGTTGAGTATTTCTTTGTTCAGAGTCATTTAACCATATTGTAATCAGGTTACCTAGGGCAAATAGAGGTATAAAAGAGAGAAATAGCTGTAGAGAAGGAGTTACGATTTTGTTTACGAGAGAAATGTACTTCAGAGATTTAAGATTATGCCACTGTATTGTTGAGCCTGCAGTTTAGATGTTGTAAACTTATATTACTGTTACTTTGGATTTTGAATAATGTTCAGTAATGAGTATTGAACTTTTAATCAACTTTGTGTTTATGTTCACTGGCAGGACTTCGTTCAGACAACACCAGGATTCCCTCAATCACGCTACCAGTTCTTTTCTAGGGTAATCCTGTAAAAGCGTATCATTGGCATTTGTCGTCAGTGACACTGTGTACGAGTGAAAGGCACGACCTGAAACTAATACACTCAACAACACCGCACAAACAAAAGGATACACACTTTAGTTGAAGTTGTATAACCAACTTTTCGTCACAGGTTATACTTTGAGAATTAACATGCAACTTTTAAAAAAACAATTATTTCTGAAAATTGAAAAACATACATGCATGATTGAAATAGATAAAACCATGATAACAAATATTAAAATGTTTATTAGTCCCCTACCAGCAAAGCCAATGGGACTTTAAGTAATGCTTGAAAATATTGATTTGATATTTATACATTGTACATGTATATAGTTTTACAATGACAAATTTACAGATCAAGCTCAATATTTATTCTGTTGAGATGTTTTTCTTTGCATAGCTATGGTCCTTGGACTTAGAAAGTTCAAGCAAATAATCTGTTTTTCACTTTCTTTTTTAGCTCACCTGGCCCGAAAGGCCAAGTGAGCTTTTCTCATCACTTGGCGTCCGTCGTCCGGCGTCGTCGTCCGTCGTCGGCGTTAACTTTTTACATTTTGAACTTCTTCTAGAGAACCACTGAATGGAATGAAACCAAACATGGCATGAATGTTCCTTATGAGGTGCTGACCAAGTGTTGTTACTTTGTAGCCGATCCATCATCCAAGATGGCCGCCAGCGGGGGACTTAGTTTAACATAGGACCCTATGGGAAATGCATACAAATGACTTCTTTTAGAGAACCACTGAATGGAATGTAACAAAACATAGCATGAATGTTCCTTACAAGGTGCTGACCAAGTGTTGTTACTTTGTAGCTGTTCCATCATCCAAAATGGCCACCAGTGAGGGACTTAGTTTAACATAGGACCCTATGGGAAATGCATACAAATGACTTCTTTTAGAGAACCACTGAATGGAATGAAACAAAACATAGCATGAATGTTCATTAGGAGGTGCTGACCAAGTGTTGTTACTTTGTAGCTGATCCATCATCCAAGATGGCCGCCAGCGGAGGACTTAGTTTAACATAGGACCCTATGGGAAATGCATACAAATGACTTCTTTTAGAGAACCACTGAATGGAATGAAACAAAACATAGCATGAATGTTCCTTACAAGGTGCTGACCAAGTGTTGTTACTTTGTAGCTGTTCCATCATCCAAAATGGCCGCCAGTGAGGGACTTAGTTTAACATAGGACCCTATGGGAAATGCATACAAATGACTTCTTTTAGAGAACCACTGAATGGAATGAAACAAAACATAGCATGAATGTTCATTAGGAGGTGCTGACCAAGTGTTGTTACTTTGTAGCCGATCCATCATCCAAGATGGCCGCCAGCAGGGGACTTATTTTAACATAGGACCCTATGGGAAATGCATACAAATGACTTCTTTTAGAGAACCACTGAATGGAATGTAACAAAACATAGCATGAATGTTCCTTACAAGGTGCTGACCAAGTGTTGTTACTTTGTAGCTGTTCCATCATCCAAAATGGCCGCCAGTGAGGGACTTAGTTTAACATAGGACCCTATGGGAAATACATACAAATGTCTTCTTTTATAGAACCACTGAACGGAATGAAACCAAACATGGTATGAATGTTCCTTATGAGGTGCTGACCGAGTGTTGTTACTTTGAAGCCGATCCATAATCCAAGATGGCTGCCAGCGGGGGACTTAGTTTAACATTGGACCCTATGGGAAATACATACAAATGTCTTCTTTTAGAGAACCACTGAATGGAATAAAACCAAACATGGTATGAATGTTCCTTATGAGGTGCTGACTGAGTGTTGTTACTTTGAAGCCGATCCATAATCCAAGATGGCCGCCAGCGGGGGACTTAGTTTAACATAGGACCCTATGGGAAATACATACAAATGTCTTCTTTTAGAGAACCACTGAATGGAATGAAACCAAACATTGCATGAATGTTTCTTATGAGGTGCTGACCGAGTGTTGTTACTTTGAAGCCGATCCATAATCCAAGATGGCCGCCAGCGGGGGACTTAGTTTAACATACCACCCTATGGGAAATACATACAGATGTCTTCTTTTAGAGAACCACTGAATGGAATGAAACCAAACATGGTATGAATGTTCTTTATGAGGTGCTGACCGAGTGTTGTTACTTTGAAGCCGATCCATAATCCAAGATGGATGCCAGCGGGGGACTTAGTTTAACATGGGACCCTATGGGAAATACATACAAATGTCTTCTTTTAGAGAACCACTGAATGCAATGAAACCAAACATGGCATGAATGTTCCTTATGAGGTCTTGACTAAGTGTTGTTACTTTGAAGCCGATCCATCATCCAAGATGGCCGCCAGAGAGGGACTTAGTTTAACATAGGACTCTATGGGAAATACATACAAATGTCTTCTTTTAGAGAACCACTGAATGCAATGAAACCAAACATGGCATGAATGTTCCTTATGAGGTGCTGACCAAGTGTTGTTACTTTGAAGCTGATCCATCATCCAAGATGGCAGCCAGCGGGGGACTTAGTTTAACATAGGACCCTATAGGAAATACATACAAATGTCTTCTTTTAGAGAACCACTGAATGCAATGAAACCAAACATGGCATGAATGTTCCTTATGAGGTGTTGACCAAGTGTTGTTACTTTGAAGCTGATCCATCATCCAAGATGGCAGCCAGCGGGGGACTTAGTTTAACATAGGACCCTATGGGAAATACATACAAATGTCTTCTTTTAGAGAACCACTGAATGCAATGAAACCAAACATGGCATGAATGTTCCTTATGAGGTGCTGACCAAGTGTTGTTACTATGAAGCCGATCCATAATCTAAGATGGCCGCCAGCGGAGGACTTAGTTTAACATAGGACCCTATGAGAAATACGTACAAATGTTTTCTTTTAGAGAACCATTGAATGGAATGAAACCAAACATGGCATGCATGTTCCTTTTGAGGTGCTGACCAAGTGTTGTTACTTTGAAGCTGATCCTTCATCCATGATGGCTGCCAGATGGGGACAATGTTTAACAAAGGACCCTATGGATGATACATACAAATGTCTTCTTTTAGAGAACCACATACTGAATGGATTGAAACCAAACATGGCATGAATGTTCCTTATGAGGTGCTGACTAAGTTTTGTTACTTTGAAGCTGATCCTTCATCCATGATGGCCGCCAATAGGGGGACTTCCTTTAACATAAGACCCTATGGGAAATACATACAAATGCTTCTTCTAGAGGTGCACTGAATGGAATGAAACCAAAACATGGCATAAATGTTTCTTATGAGGTGCTGATTAAGTGTTGCTACTTTGTTGCCGATTTACTGTTCAAGATGGCCACCAGGATTTTTTATTAAATTACAGGACCAATATTAAACCAAATTTGGCCTCACTCATTATCAGGGTATCTGTTATGATTTTAATCTATTTTTACATGATTTCCAAAACCAAAGTAGAATCAGGTGAGCGACACAGGCTCTTGAGAGCCTCTAGTTTGTTATACTTGGAGATATTGATTTGGTAATTGTCATGAATCATGATTGTTGTATAGTTTTACCATGACAAGTTGCATATACTAGGTATGACACATGACGCCATTTTGTCATCGTACATTGGTGGTCATGAAATAAAATCGAATTTTCAAATTTCCCTGCAGAAAAGGTTGTATTGAAAAAGAAATTGAAAATAACATTTTGTAAACAACTGTAACCCTCTGATTAGTTCTGCCAAATTTCGTTCCAAAAGAAGTTTTTTACATATTTTCCTGTTTATCTGAAAAGGTCCGATCAGCGAGTATTGAATTTCTTCCCGACGTCACGTTCAAAAATTTGCGTTTGTTGATTAAAAGGGTGAATTTCATGGCTTCGCCGGTAAATGAGCCAGTCGCCATTTGCATATAATCTATGGTCCATTTAAAAGCGGCAGTTTCGTATTTTGAGATGATATATTTTTCTTTGAAGAAAATTTATATTTTACGGTAAAAAAATATATTTAAAGTCTTAATTTGAGTTTTACAAATGGTTCCCAATTAGTTTAATATTTGAAAAATGTATCATTAGAAAGCTGAGATTTTTTTCTTCAAAATACAGTTGAAAGTTCGAAACTAACGAAACTGGCTCTTTTGCCGGTCATGACCTTTGTACTCTTCCGTTACTAACGACGCCACGAAAGTAAACGTTACGTCAAACGTCAAAAATTTACAGAAAAAAAATGGAACGTCAACAATTAATGGACTTGAGTGACTGGAATGAGGAATTTTTACATGATTTGATCAACAAAAAGATAAAAGCAGGTAAGATTATATATTTTTTATGTAAGAAATGATAATAAATATTGAAAAAGAGAGAATTGGATGGTCTCATGTCTGATAAATGAGACCTGCCCCCCCCCCCCCCTATTCTTTCTCCTGTATTTTTTTTTTGCAAACATATTCCTCCCTTCTGGCCTGGGTGAAATAGGGTGGGGGTGAAACTAAAATTATCTATTGTAGGGGAAGTGCTGCTCAAATTTTTCCCAGGTCTGGACTTTAGTTTTTTCCCCAGGTTTATTGGGGGAGGGGGGGGGGGGGAGGGCAGCAGGAAAGAGGGATAAAACTTCTGAGACAAACAGTTTATTTTTCCGTCATCATTCATAGCCTTATTTATTTTTTTCTCTCTGTAGAGAGACAATTTTGGGGAGTTAATGTGCAGATATTATTAAAATCTTAATACATTATTGAATGGAAGAAAAAATCCTGTTTATAAATTCTGAATATATAAATCTTAGAAGTCATTTGGATCTTATTTAATAGATGGGTCTAAAATTGTACTAATAAAACAATGCAATACAGGTAACTGCTGTTTTGTTTTAGCATTTTTTGATGATTTAGTTAATACTTGTTATATAAATGTACTTTCTATTGTAGGAATACAGTCAATCACAAATGTACAATATGCCCTACTTTTCACGATGGTGCAGGAAATGGAGTGTCCTATATATGCAACCCTTGAAGATGTTTTACGTTATGCCATGCCTGCTGTTACGGTACCAAAAAAATGGGCCAATGTCACCAGAAGTGTAATGAACAATGTGAATAAAAACATAAATTTAAAGAATATTGTTTATCAGTTAACTCCTCAAGAAAAGCCTACAACTATTAATAATGAAAGTATAGGAAATGTATGTGATGCATTAGGTATACGCCGGTCAACTCTGCTCCATCCACCGGAAAATTTATCAAGTACTCTTTTAACTGTGAAAGCTTTCCATGAAATCTGTCTTTTCAAAAACCGGTATTCCTATACATGGTCAGATGTGGCTGAATGGACCAACAATATGTTGCCAGAAGGCATGCTTGTGAACAAACATAAAGTTCTATATTTATACAAGAAAATTAATGACAATTTTCAAAGTTACATGAAAAATAGACAAAATGAAGATCTTGACACTTTTAAATCATCCAAATTCTTTAAGTTTCTTAATAGTACTTTACAACCAAAATTACAAACAGATATGCAGAAAAATGATAAATCATTAAAAAGGCAGTGTTTAAAACTTGTAGCAAATCAGAGAGAAGTTTTGACTGAAAATCAAGAGTTGTGTTTTGAAAATGAAGTGTTAAAGGAACAAATTGTTGAACAAAAAAAAAACATCAGGAATAATGAATCTGAATCAGTGAAAAGAAACCAGGAACTTAGAAAACTAAGGTTGACAAAGGAGGCAAATGTAAACTTAAAAGAAGAAAATAAATCTTTAAAAGAAAATTTGACTTCTTTGAAAAAGGAAAATTTTTGTAAGAGATTAAGGCGAAAACAGAAAAAGCTTGAAAAGAAAGAAAGAAAAATAATAGAGAAGAATAAAGCTTTAAACAGAGAAAACAGTGGTCTAAATGCAAGAATAAGAGCTATTGAATCAGATTTTGCCAAAAAAAAGAATGAAAAAAAAATAAAAATTCACAGATTGTCAAACCGATTATCTCATGCGAAGAAATTTAATATCAAACTCAAACAGAAATTACACAGCCAAAATGTTGATTTAGAAAATAAAAAAATTGAAACATCAAATCTAAAGAGAGAGTTAAGTGTTGCAAATGATCAGTTAGATATAATTGAGGCAGAAAATCAAAATAAAAAAGTATCTACAAAGGAAGGTTTCAGATATACCGATAGCATGCGAACATGCATTATGGATCTCCATGGCAGTGATATTTCTGCAAACAAAATTTCTAATGTTATAAATATTGTAAGCAACAACTTGTTTGACTCTGTACCATCAGATTTGCCATGTAGATCGACAATTTCAAATATATGTGATGAAGGACATGTTTTAGCTAAACATCATGTGAGTGAAACATTGGCTAACTGTCAGCAATTTGACATTTTCTCAGATGGCACCGGTCGTGAAGGAAAAAAAATAATAGATTTAGGAGTACATACAAAAACCGGTACATTATCATTAGGATATAAATCAGTGGCAAGGGAGGATTCAGATACTGTTGCTCAAACAATTAAAGACTCTTTAAATGAGTTTGCTGATCTTCAAAGCATAACTATTAATAAATTATTGTTGCAACTTACAGCTATGATGAGTGATCGTTCAAGCGTGATGAAAAAAACAAATGAAATTATTGATGAATGGAGAAAATTAAAATTAACAAGATTTAAATGAGAACGACATATCAAAACTTAATTTCTTTTATTGCAGTGCACATGTACTTTTAGGCTTCCACAATGAAATAACAAAATCACTTAAAGAATTAGCAAAACAAACTCCACCTATTGGAAGAGATTCATTGCCAAAATTTGCTCGTTTCAAACACAATTCTGAGCCATCATCCATCAGATTAATTCGTATGGCTTCAGAAGTTTTAGGTCCAAGGGGTGACGAGAAGAACGGTGCAAGACAGGAGTGGCTTGCTTATTTAGCTCTAAAACAAAAATCTTCCATGATTATAAATTACAGGGGGAATAGGTTCAACAATTTGTTTACAGGTGCTGTTTCTATTTTGAACCATTCTGAAGACATAATTGACTTTATTTCGAACTATAGAGAAAATCCAAATGATAAATTGCAATCTGTTCTTGCTGACATTAAATGTCCTGATGTTCTCTCCCATGTTTCCGCCATTGCCATAGCATCTATGATTTTAGCTGAACCATTCTGGAATGTAATTAACAGTGATGAACATTACTTAGATCTTTACAAATTTATTATACCTTTACGAGATAGATTGGTTGATTGGAGCTCAAATGATTTCAATGTTTTTGATTTTAATAATGGCGAAATTCCTAGTTTGTATGAACAATATCCACATGACATAATTCAACAGGTATTCAACAAGGCAAAGATACATCCTAAAACTAATGACATTCTTAAAATTATATGTTCATCCATGTTGACAATTGTAAAAAGACAACTTAATGACCACCTTGAAAATGGAGTATATGGATCGCTCCCTGATCCAGATCTGAAATCAAGAACATCTCATAGCAAGTTAACAAATATACCCGCGGAAAATTTGTTTGGCGATCTAGACTTTTATTTCAAAAGAAAACCAAATGCAACTTTAAGACATCATTCTGCAATAAGTATGCTCAAACGAAATAAAACAATACAATGGCTAAAAACTAAAACTGAAAATTCCAGGAAAGTTTTACTTTTAAAAGCTAGAAAAAGTGCTAAATCTTTAAAGTCAAAAGAAATTGCATATGAAAAGAGTGTTATGGAAGCTAGGAAAACACATTTACAGCAAATAAAGAAGAAAAAACAACAGCTTGAACAAAAGAAAAAGATGGAAATAAACAAAATTGAACTAAATGTGAGGCTAATGGGTGGTATAGTGCGATCTAGGAAGGATGTTGACTGTCTTTTACAATCGTCTAAAACAATCAGATTAAAGAAGGAAAAACTCAGAAATCAGTTACTTTATTGTAAACATTTTATGAATTTAGATGTTGATAAAAAAGACATAATGTGGAAAAACACTGTTAACCAAATGAAAGATGTTTTAACACTAACTTTGAAAATTGACAAACAGAAAGTTTTAGAAAAAGGGATATGGGTTGCAGTATCCTACGAGGATAATTGGTATCCAGGGGAAATTATGGATATAATTGACAATGCATACATTGTAAAGTTTTTAAAACGAAAAAGTATGAGAGGAAATACTTTTATTTGGCCAAACAAAGACGATATAGATAATATTAATGAAAAATTTATAATTTATTCTGATTTTGAAATAATGCCCTCTCCTGGGCTTAGACATTGGCTCATTCCCGACATGGATGAAATTGAAGTATTGCATAAACAATTTGTGGAAAAATACTTTGAAAATTGTTAATTTGTTCTGAAAATGTTTATTTTCAATGTTACATGTAACTGGTAATTGCTATTTTATCTTGTTACTTAAATTATTACATATTCCACTGTTTTATATCATTTTCGGCCAAACCAACCTTTTAAAGATTCACACTACCATGACTGCAAACATATTTGAAATAAACACATTTGGTTGTTTTTCCTTGAAAGGATACACCATATACATTTTAGAAATTACATGGTCTTCCTTTAAAAAAACATTGAAACAAAACAGTAATTTTTAAAGTATCCAATATATTTTGTGGAAAGTTATAGTTAATTGTTGCCATGGTAATTGACTATTTAAGGATAACAAAACTATCATGTCCTGACCAGTAAATATATCTTTAACATTGATAAAAGAAAAAGCATGCCAAAAAGTCTCAGAAAACAAATGTGTGCAAAGATAACTTGGAAATTGAATATTTAACGGGTTGTATGATGGTTGCTTCAAATTAGATCATTGAAAAAATGGTTACCATGGTAACAAAACTCAAATTTCCACTTAAGATATTGCAATTTTGACAATGCCAAATGAAAGAGCATGCCAAATTACCCTGGTAGCCAAATTTTAAAGGAGGTAATGCAAATAGTAAAGGATTTACAGCCAATTCAAGAGAAAAAATGCTGGACTCTGTCGTTTCTGCAGTTCGGACACGTTTCCGAGGGTGCTTGAAGACCTATTTGTGGTGTTTATATTTTTTGGAAACTTTGGGTTTATGTAACTAGTAAAGACCATACCAGTCTAATATATCCCTAATTAGAAGATTTAGAGATTATTTAGGTTGTGTTAGCAACAAATGTGGAGATAAAAGCCTCTAAAATTAGAGATTTTATCATTTTTGTATCAAATATAGCAAAAATGGCAGAAAATATCGCTATTTTTTAAATTTGTTTTGGTCATAACTTTTGAACCGCTAAAGGTATCTTCATATTTTAAACACCATTTTCTTTGTTTTTATGAGCTCTGTAAGTTGAAAGCATTTATATTATGGAAGGGATGTGTTAAAAAAATCATGTGTCATACCTACATATACAATAATGAATTTAGGGCCCAAAAACAAGGATTTTCTGGTTTCCATACATTAATTTGAATATAATATAAAAATATGAAGATGTGATATAATTGCCAATTAGACAACTCTCCATCCGAGATCAAATGACATAGAAGTAAATAACTACAGGTCACGGTACGGCCTTCAATTATGAGCAAATCCCATACATTTCTATGGATCTCTATGAAATTGAACCTCAAGGTTCATACCAAAAAAAGGAAGGTTGGGATTGGTTTTGGAGGGTTATGGCCTTAACCATTCAGGAGTTAGCATGGTAAGGCCAGGGTTTTTTAATTTGTTGGTTTGCACATTTTACACATGAAAAAGTCGAGTCGGTCGGTCGAGAATAAAAAGAAAAAAAATATCTTTCAAGACAGAATAAAATATATTTCACCTTACTAACAAAATGTTTGGTTTGCTATCTTGTCATCGCTTAAATTCTAGTTCCATGAATTATTATTGCTCAGCTGTTATAAACATAAATATACAATGTATGTACATTGTCGGAAAATATATAATTTATTTGTATAAGCTTTAGAAACAGGACGAAAAGCGAGGCTCGCCAAGCTTTTCTCCTGTTTCGTAGCGAGTACAAATAAATTTTATATTTTCCGACAATGTACATATATTGTTTTTATCCTGAAATTAACACCCAAAACTTGAAACTTTAGTTGTTAAAATCTAAATCATTGTCTCTAATTATCATGATTATTCAAAGAAATCGACATAGTTTGAACGCAGACCGCGAAGAGGACCCAAAAATGAACTGGTACGCAAAAAGAAATATCCACATTACCGCTTGCTCAACATGGAAGCGGGGTAACAGGAGACTTTATTTGTACAAGTACAAATAAAGCAAAAATTTATTTGTGTACCTGTTATTTGTACATTAGTTAGCTGATTGCAGGATAAAATGCATGCCATCATCATACAATTTCCAAATAGGGGGGTTATGTCCAAGGTCATACAATTTCCAATAAAATGCTCCGCAGGGCGCAGCTTGATACGACCGCAGAGGTCGAACCCTGAACAGTTGGGGCATGTATGGACACAACATTGAAGCTTGATACAGCTCTGAATTTGGATTGTGATTAAATATTTGACACAGCATAGGTTTCTGACACAGAATGAATGTGGTCTAAGAACTTAACAATTTTAAATTGGACATTCACCTATTATGGTCCAATATCCAAAATCTAAATACATGGTTAGATTCAGCATATCAAAGAACCCCAAGAATTCAATTTTTGATGAAATCAAACAAAGTTTAATTTTTGACCCTTTTGACCTCAATGTGGACAAAGTTGATAATGGGGCCCAAAAATCAAAAATCTAAATACATGGTTAGATTCAGCATATCAAAGAACATCATATATTCAATTTTTGTTGAAATCAAACAAAGTTTAATTTTGGACCCCGATTTGGACCAACTTGAAAACTGGGCCCATAATCAAAAATCTAAATACATGTTTAGATTCAGCATATCAAAGACCACTAAGAATTCAATTTTTGTTAAAATCAAACAAAGTTTAATTTTGGACCCTTTGGACCTTTATGTAGACCAATTTGAAAACGGAACCAAAAATTAAGAATCTAAATACACGGTTAAATTCAGCATATCAAAGAACCCCAATAATTCAATTTTTGATGAAATCAAACAAAGTTTAATTTTGGACCCTTTAAACCTCAATGTGGACCAATTTAAAAACGGGGCCCAAAATCCAAAAACTTAATACACGGTTAGAATCAGCATATTAAAGAACCCCAAGAATTCAAGAATAAAACCCCATTGAAATTGGTCAAGAAATAAGCAATTTATACGAAGTATCTTCTTTTGCACAATACTGTGCAATTGAATATTTCTTGCTATTGCGCAATATTGTGCTATTGGATATTTCTTGCTATTGCACAATACTGTGCAATTGAAGATTTCTTGCTATTGCGCAATACTGTGCAATTGAAGATTTCTTGCTATTATGCAATACTGTGCAATTGAAAATTTCTTGCTATTGCACAATACTTATTATATAATAATTTACACATCCTGTTTGGTGTGTATCTCCTACCATATCATTATTATTTGCTTTTAAATATAAAACAGAAATAACCAACTTAAAATAGAAAATTTTAAAAGAAAAAAAAAAGGAAAAAAAAAAAATCCCCCCCCCCCCCCCCAAATTTTTTGAACCCCCTTATGATTCATCACCCCCAAACTCAATCCCAGCCTTCCCTTTGTGGTATGGTACCTTGCAGTAC